TGTTACTGACCTATGATTTTAAGAAAAGGCCATCAGAGTTTCTAGTATGGTGGCTATTAAAATACGTAACAGAGCCCACTGGCCTTCTAAACTGGGTGCACATTGTACTCTGGGTCCTGTCCCAGGATGAAATTAGACAGAAAAAGCTCTGAGACATGTTCATATTGTAGCCAGTAAGGTAACAAAAACAAGCATACCCAACAACCTGTTGCTGGAAAACCAAAAATATCGTTTGTCAGTGGGACTGCGGTCTCCGTTTGAGGAATATAGTTAGCATACAGTTAGCAATGGGATTCACATGAAAATTTTCACAATTTTGATTATTTTTCATAAAGAACCCTTTTGATTCTTTTGATCAGTGGACCTTTACAGAAGAATATAAATAACTGAGGATAGGACACATATCTAGACTTTAGGAGCACTTCAAAGGTATAGAGTCAGCACTTGTCTTTGCCTCTCTTGTTTACCATGCCAGTGAATCTGATTCAATTCTACTTTGGTGCTCACAGTTTCCGTTAGATCAACTGAACGACCAATGCGTTCTCATCCCCCTGAGGCGCACTAGGTCAGTGGTTCCCAACTGGTGGGCCGCGGTCCTAAAGTGGGTTGCAAGTGACTTGCTAAAGTAAGTACTTTGTAAAAACCACACTTTATTTTTAAGTACAGTGAATTTCTGGCACAGATCTTTTATTATGAAGTGCTGTTTCCTGCTGTAGAGGAACTGAATAACAAACAGCTACTTAACTTTATAATACAGCAGTTGCCAGCACTGTTACAAATGGCAGCCAGCTGGTGCATGTCATAACGCCACGAAAGGTGCCTTTGTGTGTTGGTATCTTACATAGTGGTGGTATTTGACAACTTCAGTTGTTGGCTGCTGTGTCAACAACTGCCACCGTCCAGTGCATATTATCACTATATTACTAACACGCAACATATGCTGTTGTTCATCTGACACTACTCCACAGAATGTAATGGTTCCTGTGATGATTTAGGTCAAATACACTCACCGGCCACTTTATTAGGTACACCTGTTTTACTGCTCATTAATGCAAATAGCTAATCAGCTAATCATGTGGCAGCAACTCAATGCATTTAGGCATGTAGACATGGTCAAGACGACCTGCTGGAGTTCAAACTGAGCATCAGAATGGGGAAGAAAGGTGATTTAAGTGACTTTGAACGTGGCATGGTTGTTGGTGCCAGGCTTTCAGAAACTGTTGATCTACTGGGATTTTCACACACACCCATCTCTAGGGTTTACAGAGGATGGTCCGGAAAAGAGAAAATATCCAGTGGGCAGCAGTTCTCTGGGCAAAAATGCCTTGTTGATGCCAGAGGTCAGAGGAGAATGGCCAGACTGGTTCAAGATGATAGAAAGGCAACAGTAACTCAAATAACCACTGGTTACAACCAAGGTCTGCAGAAGACCATCTCTGAACCAACAACATGTCCAACTTTGAAGCAGATGGGCTACAGCAGCAGAAGACCACACCAGGTGCCACTCCTGTCAGCTAAGAACAGGAAACTATGGTTACCGTTCACACAACCTTGCCAAAATTGGACAATAGAAGATTGAAAAAACATTGTCTGCTTCTGATGGCTACTTCCAGCAGGGTAACGCGCCATGGCACAAAGCTCAGATCATCTCAAACTAGTTTCTTGAACATGACAATGAGTTCACTGTACTCCAATGGCCTCCACAGTCACCAGATCTCAATCCAGTAGAGCACCTTTGGGATGTGCTGGAATGGGAGATTCACATCATGGATGTCCAGCTGATGAATCTGCAGCAACTGTGTGACACTATCATGTCAATATGGACCGATGTCTCTGAGGAATGTTTCTAGCACCTTGTTGAATCTGTGCCATGGAGAATTAAGGTAGTTCTGAAGGCAAAAGGGGTCCAACCCGGTACTAGCAAGGTGTACCTAATAAAGTGGCCAGTGAGTGTATAGCCTAGGCTTTGATATCTAGTTATCTCAGGAAAACAAAGCTCGTTATCTTCAGTAAATTATCCCATTCCCTTGATAAAGCAATTACAGGTATTACAGGGAAATGGAGGAAATAAAATGTTTGAAACCATGTCCATTTAGGGCTTCCATACAAAATGTCATGTCTCATCATCTTTGTTGGGTCGTGTGAAATGTGATCTTAACTGCAGTATATCCATCATGGAGGGAAGTTAAGGCTGATATTTCATTTTTAAGTTAACATAAAAACAAAAAAAGCTGGCAGAAACATGTCAGACATTAAATATAAAGTACTGAGTGAGGAACACGTACACACCTGCGCACACACCTTGTCCTAACTTAAATGCCCTGTTCTCCTCCCACCTGTGCTGTCAGGAGTAATAAAACTAACTTACAACTGCATTTCAACTCCTCCCTCCCCCTTAACTTCTTCATTTAAATGTGCATTTTGAAGAACAAGCGCTTCTCACATCTTGAAAGGATGTTGATGACTCGAGCACAAATCTCCATACATTTTCATGAGCCGGATATGCACTATCAGAGTGATCTGTGAGGAAATAGCCAGCAGGTTTATGAAAATATAAATTGAAATTTTTTATTAGGAGTGCAGTAAATGAAATATGAAGCAATAAATGAAATATTTCCTTTCAGCAGAGATATATCATATTGATGCAGTTGTTATTGTCGTGGGCTGAGGGCCATTGGTGACATTTGTGCTTTTAAAAAACAGTTTTTATGAAATGGAATTTGTGGAGGTCCTTACAATAAAGCTTTATGGATCACCATAAAACACTGTTCACTGTCATGGGCAATGCCATTATGCTTAAAAGCTTTGGAAGAGCACAAGATGACAGATAATGTTGAATGAAAACAAACTTTCTAAATGATAGGATTTTAAAGTATTTTGTTGTGGCATTTCAGGTTCCATATTAAAGGGACAGATCAACTAACTCATCTAAGAGGTCCCTATACATGCAGATAGTTTTGGTTTTCTCTGTCTAGATTTTGAGATATCTCTGGGGGTTTTTGTGCTCTAGTACCAGTACAGTGCAGGTGAATGTAATGTGGTACTTTTTTGTATCAAAGAAATAGCTGTATTATACCTGTATTAGTCAACAGTGGTCTTTGGATTTAAACAGTAAGAGGGAACTTATTTTCAGAAAGAGATGCCTTTTTAAAAAATGTATTTCCAAAAATTTTTTCATGGCTAAACACTACCAGAGTAAGTTAAGTCAACTGTCTTAAGGGGAATAGTTTTCCATTCAGGGGTTATGCCATAGCACATAGCCTATGCTTGTAGCTGCTGTAGTACATTGTCCATCCCTGGTCGCACCATTCTATCAGTAGATGAAATCCGACACTGTATTCACTGAAATCTAAACCTACATTGCAGGTATCTACTGTGCAGTCACACCGACTGAATCAATATCCAAACCTTTTGCATTAACCATTAATTCAGCTTAAAATTCAACACACTCCGACCTCGTCACATAGCTACATTTGTTCATGGACTTTCCATGCTACAACGTGCAAGGTATCCTGGACGCATGTAACAAGCTTTGCCTGTTACATGCCTTGTCTACTGTCAAAATACACTTACATGTTCACAGGAAATGCAAGGTTTATATACAGTCTCAAAATAAACGCCTCACATCAGTACAACAAATTGATGTTTTTTTTTTTTCCTTCAACAAATGCACGTGGTTGCGTTTAGCCAACATGCAGGTTGGTTGGGTTGGGTTTAGGAAAAAAGAACGAGGTTTGGCTTTACAATCTTAGAGGAAGCAAACAGATGAAAGGTGAAAGTCGGTGGTTGTAAGACCCATCCACCACTTCTCCTGCTTGCCCAGCTCAGACGTCCACTGCTTTAACTTTCATTCTTGCCCCACTGCATTTCGCTAGCTGGGTGTGTATCATACCAACGTGAAAGACTTTTTTTGGCGGTGTGTGACACTGTAAGTCACTGCCCAAGCAATGGATTTCAGAGTGAGACGGGGTTGCAAAATTGGGAAACTGACAACACTTGACTTAACCAATTTGTTTGTGATATTATACAAAAGTTGCTATCACTCGTATGTTTTCTTTTTCTTATTTTTTTTTGCAGTATAGCCTTCCTCAAATACAACACTGAGGTTAAATCATGAATATGATGTCACAAATGTAAGAATTGTTCTGCTTCTGTGATCAAAAGAAAAAGGTTTAACATCATGTATTCAGATACACACGAAACAAAAACAGAAATGCAACACTTTCATATGTGCGCCCATTTTCCATGAGTTGAAATAAAATATTGAATACATTTATTGTGCACAAAAGACTTATCTCGCTCAAATGTTGTTCATAAATTTGTTTAAATGTGTGTTAATGAGCACTTCGTCAACATAATCCATAATCCAGTGTCATTTCTGAGACTTTGGCAGTTCATCTAACCAGCTTCACAACCACAGTCTATCCAGACCAGCCCAGGACCTCCACATCCAGCTTCTTCACCAGCCTGAGATGGCCTGGGCAAAAATTCTTCAGTTCTGCAAATCAGCTGTTGCATCAGCTGTCTGGGCGGCTGGTCTTGAACTATCTTGCAGGTGAAAACACTGGATGTGGAGGCCCTGAGCTGGTCTGGATACACTTGGTCTGTGGTTGTGAAGCTGGTTGGATGTACTGCCAAAGTCTCGGAAATGATGGTAAAGATGGCTACTGGTTGTGAAATAGACATTCAACAGCTCCGATGGACATTCCTGTAGTCAGCATGCAAATAGCGTGCTCCCTTAAAACATGCAGTATTTTGATATGCCACACCTGTCAGGTGGATGGATTATGGATTATGTTGGAGAAATGCACACTCACAAGAGTTTTAAGAAATTTGTTAACAAAATCTGGGAAATAAGCCTTTTCTGTGCACGGAAAAAGTCTTAAATCTTTTATTTCAACTTGTGTTCAACTCAAGTGCTTATATATTTGTTCAATGTCCTTTATATAGGCTACAGTAGGGGACTCAGTCCGAAAGCTGCCAAGTAAGTCAACACTTACCAAACACTTTCAGGAAGATCTCCCTTTCTTGAGATCCCGCCTTGTTAGAGGCCTTGCAGGTGTAGGTGCCCCCATCACCCTGCCGAATGTTGCGGATGGTTAACATGCTACGCCCGCCTTCCAGCCTATTGAAAATATACTGCTCCTATGGCTCCAGCAGCTGCCCTTTCCTGCACAAACAAAAGGAAGAAGCACACACTGCGGATAAGCAATGGGAGGGAAAATATGGCAACCGGCTCACACCTCACAATGACCTCTGCGAGATTCACACTGCAGCACGTTTGATGTTACAGATGTATAATCTTAGCACTTTGGGTGTCAACTGATCCCATAAAAGAGAGGCTAAATGCAGACAGCTTGACTTTGAAGCTATTTCTATCTATAGCACATAAACAGGTGAAAACATGACAGCACTTTTTATAGAAACCTCTTCATGTGTGATAAAAGCTTTGTTTTGGATATCATAATATAAATGAAATATCTGTAGTTCAGTGAATCATTTGTAGTATGTCATCAAAACTCTTCGCACGCTATGACTTCTTAAACTCTGCCATGCAAAAAAAGAATATCTTCATATTCTCAGTCGATGTTTGAGTCTCGTCGGAGCTCGCTTGTGTTGTTGTGTATGTTCTGTTATGGACTGCAGCACTCACTAAATGACTCCGGTGTGGTGTGGAATACTGTGCTGACTTAATGTCTTTTCTTATTGGACTCTGTTGGGAAATTAGTCAGAAAAAAAGCTACAGCTAAATTGATCCATGTCTATATTTAAGCTTCATAGCAGAAGCATAATGGTGTGAAGCAGGTTTGCAGCCTCCCCCGCTTGTTTATTTACTGCAGCTTAACCAGCCGTGTAATCTATAAGGTTAAAGGGATCGGCAGTTTTGGGGGTATTTGACTTTTTTCCCATTCTTACACAGATTTAGATGAACTCATGGGTGCTTTTTCATGCCATCTGCATGCAGGCTAAAAGTAGGAGATTAGCTTAATGACTGAATGTCTATGGGATCAGCAAAAACAGCCAAAAACAAAGGGAAATACACCTTTTAACTCCAAAAGTGATGTATGTGTGGTCACAAATAAACAAAGTTACTAATTTTATTATGGCCTGCGCATTGTCTGGTGTGAGGCCCCTATTGAAATGCAAGAAATTATTATTATTCTGTCAAATTAATCACATTTTTGAGGGACTAGGGATGCTCCAAAACTAATGACACTTGGCACACATAACAGAGGTGGGAAAATTTACATCTGATATGGGTCTCAGACTTGGGTGTGGAAAAAACAAACAAACAAAAGCCTCTCAAAGATATACTCAAAACTCAACAGGAATTCAGCCATATTACATTCACTTCTTATTTTTTTGCCGTTTACAAGTACTGTACTTTGACAAACTCCTCCTACAGATTTAACCCAATCCAGGTCAGATTTGAGCCAGGCAGTATAAAGACGTTTGTGAAAAAAAGGTGTTAACCAACCGGGATAATACGATGATCTCAGGTAAAAAATCCAAACAGAAAATAAGACACGGGCAAAACGAGGGAAATGGGGATTGGCTGACGACAAGGGTGTGGTGGGGAACACTAGGGTGGAGCAAACAACACTAATACAGAACAGGTGTGAGGGGAAGACTCTGGGAACAGGGAAGGACTAACGAGACTGGTGAAGACAGGTGTGATAGAAAACAGGCAGGAAAACAGACAAAGACAGGAAGTAAAACCAGACATGACACATGAGGAGAGAATCTATAAAATAAAACAGGAAGCAGAATAAACATGAATGAATAACATGAAACAAAGAAGAACACAAATGACCATGTCAAATGTGTTAGGGGTCACTTGTAGATTCACATCAACAGACATTATCACCCAATTCTACAGTTCACCTCAGCTGCCTGTTTGGACATCTTTTAAGAAATTGTTTTGATTTTACACCCTACACTTTAATATCTTTGTTTAGTCTCTCTGCTTTCATCAACAATGTTGGCAGCTCCTTTTTAGCAAAATAGCACCAAATAGCAGAAAGACAATGTCAGCGAGAAGTTGGCAAATATAATGGAGGGCTGAGTTTTCACAGGAGTTGGCCACAACAGAGCTAAAAGAAGAGTGAATATTGAATTCATAACCCAATTGCCAAAATAAGTTGGCATTATATGTTTCTGTAAACCAGCAAAACATTATATATATGGTGACTGTGGTTAGGAAAATATCATGTTCTGACTTGACATACCAGCTTTTGGTGGCACAATCCCAGATGGGAATGCAGCAATATCTCAATTACAAGAACACTTTTTGTGGCGCTATTCTCAATAAAGAACAGCACCAGAACGCTGGCTAAAATGCTGCTGAAAAACAGCTATGGGCCACTAAGACGAAAAAAGTTTTGTTGTTTGTTGAACGAATTCAACAATGAATCATGATGTTGCTGTCCATGAACTCATTCGTAAAAAAGAAAAAAAAAGTACACAAGAAAACAAACTTTCCTTTTAAGCAACCCAATCATCAGAATAAATGATGGCATTGTACATTTCTGCACACCTTGGATACATAACACTTGTACATTATTATGTAGAGGATAAGTTGAGTTGGTCACTTGGGCATGGTTAGGAAAATGCCCAGTTTTGGTGGCACTATCATGGCTGGAAATGCTCCCAGTGTCTCTAAGGGTGCTTTAAGGCCTAGAGTTGTCTTGCTTTGGTCTGAATCAGGGACTGATTTTGCTACAAAGTTACATAATTGCCTAGAGTTGGTTTGTATTCTCACGGCAGCATCTACAAGCGGACCATATCAAATGCCATGCAGGAAAAATCAAGACACTGAAGAACAATACACTTGCAAGATAAATGTGACACTTTCTAATGTCACAATGGAGGGAAAACTATGCAGGTTGATTTTAGTGCTGGTCATCGTGTACTATATTGCTGTCATTGTTCATTTTACGCAAACCATACAGTTTGAAAATGAGGCGCGGCTCCAACTAGAAAACAATGTTTTGATGCATTGGATGCGCTGACTGTGCATATTAAGGCAGCACAGGAGGAGGCGCACATTAATAATCCTCCAGGACTGTAACATGCTCATGTTTAACTCAAACAATGTGTAATGCGACTGCAGTTGGTTCAGATCGAGGTTGAAACACATTCTCACCACAAACAAACCGCACCAGAATTCATTTGTAACCGGACCTAGACCACCTCTTCAAGAAAGTCTTGGTCAGGTCTGAAAGCACCCTAAAACACAACAGGTTTTGCTGTTTCTTTGTCTCGAACAGTTGTCTGCATCCACCATCCCCTCCACCTCCTGACGAGAAACTCAGCTTATATACATGTTGTCAGAAATACATGCTTTTGAAACAATATAATACTGTACATATGAAATGTACAAATGTAGCATATCCGTGGTTTGTAGAAATGTACAATGCCATTGTACATTTTCCTCTGGTGTCTGGGCTGTTTTCAGACAGAATACAGAGGTTAGAAAATAATTCTCAGCTCGATCCGGTGGAAACAGAGGGCTGATAATCTATAGGTCAAAGATGCAGGCTTGTGTTGTGGCTGGGAGATAAGTGTTTTGAACCTGCAGACCAGCTCAGATAGGCAAAATGAATTAGTAATGCTCTCCTCTCTTAACAACTACAATCTGTATGTCCTTCAGCAAGGCACTTAACCACAAGCTGCTTCAATGGCCAGTGGCGGTTGTACCGGCCAGCTCCCAGGTAAGCTTATATGAATGTATAAAAAGGGCTGGATAAGAGTATGCATGAGAGATATTCTTCAAAATAAAATGATTGCGGCTTGGAATAAAAGAAAACCAAGTAAAATGGGGTTACATCTTACAGTGGCATCAGTTGCAATTTATTTTTAATCCACCCAAATGCTATTTTAACCCTGAAGTAAGAAGAATAGGTATGAAAACACATTCTTATTTTTACCTGTTCATCCAATATGGATCATAATGCCCTCAATCTGAAACTGTTTTTTAACCTCATAAGCTGCTGTGTAAATTGAATTCAAAGGCTTAGAAGCACAGAGCTTAGAATAATGCATACCTCTAAATATATCTAGAGACTTCTCCATATGGTCTCAGACTGTATTATGAATGGAAAATAAAAACAATCTTATTATTTCAGGGATTTCAAATGTGCAGATTTCCAGACTCAGACGCAAACACACACAAACGCAGTAATACAGTGTAGCGTATTGAGGCCCGGGCCCCAGCCTCACTGTACTGTAGGAAAAAAGCGAGAGGAGGATAATTGAAAGTCAACGGAGGAAACACCAAAGCCAAGTAATAATAACTCTGGCGAGCCAAAGAGGAAATGAAGAGAGGCCTCATCTTTTGAACGGACAGTGCAGGACGGGCTGCAGCACTGAATGTCATTATACTGACTGACTGCTGACAGGTAGTCCATTACTCCAAGATGCACACAGAGGACGAGGCGCAAAACCTCTCGCTGACAGGAAATGCAGCTGGGAGGCTGGGAGACGCTTGGAGGGGTGACATCAAAAGGAAAACTAAATTGGGTTGTGATTGTTGTTTACGCCTAAGCCGTGTCTTTTGTTGTGATGCACGCATTTTAATTCTGTAGTCTGGGATGGACATGCAAGACTTAGTGACCTGGGAAATGAAGGAGCGAACACTGAAATGTTTGACAGACAGTGGACGCTGGAGTTTAAGATCAGTGATGATGTTCAGCTGAAGTGATGTCATCATTTAAGTCAGAGGCAGCAGTCTGACCTTCAGCAATACTTCACATTTTATTAAAGCAAATCCAAGGAAGTTTCTTTTTGTGTTGATTTTGGCGGCCCTGTGGACAATGCACATGACCGCCTGGAAACATTTTGATCTGATCAACATGTGCATTTGTTTTGGAAGCGAGAAAAAGAAACACAGTTGTTTGCAAGATGCATATAGTGACGAGATAATGCATCTATTTGTGGCCATGTAACATCAAAGGTATACTTTGACTGGTAGTTTTGGTATAATGGCTACAATTCCCCGGTGGAAAAAGGCTGTCTTAAGATAAAGTGATGAAAGTACAATGGCATGCAAAAGTTTGGGCATCCTGGTCAAAATTTCTTTTACTATGAATGTTTAAGTAAGTAGAGGATGAACTGATCTGAAGTTAAATATGAAACATGCTTTTCAACGGTTTTAAAGTCGAAAAAGAA